CACAAGTTGGAAGGGAAGAATTCACAGCCAACTTGCTAAGTAGGTCTGACTGTTTGATACCAGTCAGAGATTTCGTGAAGATATCTGCGAGTTGCTCGTTGGTAGATACATGATACAAAGAAATCAATCCCTCCTGCAGCTTGTTTCTAACAAAGTGGCAGTCAACATCTATATGTTTTGTGCGTTCATGGAATACTGAATTTCTAGCTATTTGCAAGGCAGCTTGGCTATCGCAAAATACAGGAATGGGCAGATTTAGGGGAACAGACAATTCTTCAAGGAGTCTAGCTAACCAGACTAGCTCACCCACAACCTGTCTAGCTGCTCTATACTCTGCTTCAGCTGAAGATAAGGAAATAGTAGATTGTTTCTTTGATTTCCAACTAATAGGACTGTTTCCAAGCAGCACAATGTATCCACTAACTGACCTTCTAGACTTAGGGCATGCTGCCCAATATGAGTCACAAAAGGCTCTAATTCCATAGTCCTTGCTATTGGAAAGGAGTATGCCCAGACTTGGATCACCTTTCAAATATCTCAAAACATGGTATGCAACTTTCAAATGAGCTTGGTGACTGCATGTACTGGCTAAGATGCTGCACACTGTAGGATATATCAAGCCTTGTATTTGTCAAAAAATCAACTTCCCTATCAGTTTCCTGTAGTTAGAAGGGTCAGGCAATAGTAGACTCTCATCTACCTTCAGCTTTGCAGAGGGATCAAGGGGTGATGACAGGTTGGTATACTGAGTACACTCAAACTTTTTTATCAGATCCATAGTGAACTTTCCTTGGGATATTAGCACTCCATATTCCTTGTAAAGCACTTCCATTCCTATGAAGTAGTGTAACCTTCCCAAATCTTTTATTTTAAAAGTTTCATGCAGAAAACTCTTCAAGGAGTCAATCTCTTCGTGATGAGTCCCTGTTACAATGACATCATCTACATATACAGCCACAAACACTACTAAGGATCCTTTCCTTTTGTGAAATAGTGAGTAATCCAATAGTGTGTGTGTGTGTCTTTTAGAACATAAAGTTGCAGTCAATTTCTCATACCACTGCCTATTTGCTTGTTTGAGTCCATATAGAGACTTATTCAACTTGCATACTAAACCTGGCTTGTCTACCACCAGGCCCTGAGTCACCTCCATGTAGACTTCCTCATGTAGGTCTCCATGAAGGAAGGCATTGTTTACATCTAATTGAAACATTTGCCATCCTTTCTTTACTACAGTTCCAATCAGTGCCCTCACAGTTGTCATCTTCACAACAGGTGAAAATATCTCTGTATAATCTATCCCTGCTTGCTGAGTGTATTCCTTCACCACTAGTCTAGCCTTAAACCTCTCAACACTACCATCAACCCAGTATTTTATTTTATATATCTAATTACACCTTATTGCACTCTTACCAGCTGGGAGTAGTACCAGACTCCATGTATTGTTAGCATATAGTGCCTCAAATTCTTGATTCATGGTTGATTTTCATGTAGGACTTACAGCTCCCTCCTCATATGAACCAGGTTCACATTCATGTGAAATATTCCTTACCAATTACTGACTATCAGAGCTTAACATATTAAGAGAGATATACTGTGGATTAGGTACATAAGTTGCAAAAGAGAGAGAAGAATTACTCTAAATGTCATTGGAGAAATTAATTTGTGGTGAAGGTTGATGTTGTAGATCATGCAGCTTTGGGAGAGAGTAGTTATAGTCTTTTAGGTATGTAGGAACTTTATGTGTTCTGAAAGGTATGATTTGTATGGGGCCTAATTGGTTCACTTGATGTCCTGCACTGTTTGGATTATCAATGTGAGGCAAAGGTTCTTGGTAATTATTATTAGGTGACAAGTGTTCACTGTGGTTGTTTCTGTGAACTGTGTTCTGTTGGAGCAGGACTATGGTGATAAATTCCTATGTGAAGGTTCAGGTGACACTGTATTATAATGTTGATCTGGTAAGTTTGAAACTGCCTCTCTAGGAGGATAGAAATCAGATGCCAAGTCTTTATTGACTTGAGGAAATGAAGGAAAAACCTTATTTGATTTGGAAAACAAAGTAAAAGGAAAGACATTCTCATGGAACACTACATCTCATGAAACATGGATCCTTTTTTTTAACTAGATTTAACACTTTGTAACCCTTTGTCCCAAAAGGATACCCCACAAACACATGAGGTAAAGTTTTGGCCTCAAACTTGTCCTTATGGGTCTTAAGTGTGGTAGAAAAACACAGGCAACCAAAGCTTTTAAGATGTGAATAACATGGCTTTTTCTAATAGTGTAGCTCAAGATGACATTTGCCTTTGAGGGAAAAAGAAGGTAATCTGTTTATTATATAAGTGCAGGTAAAAATACACTCTCCCCAATACTGTAAGGGTAGTTTTGATTGATACAACAATGCCCTTGTTGTTTCTAGTAGACACTTATGTTTTCTATCCACCACCCCATTTTGTTGGGGCGTATATGGACAGGTTCTTTGGCGTACAACTCCCCAAGATTGAAAGAAAAAGGTAGCTTCTAGATTGGTGAACTCAGTCCCATTATCTGTTCTTATAGTTTTAGTGCTAAACTGGTTTTTCACCATAGCAAATAAGGCTTGTATGGTTTGTAAGGCATTGTTGTTACATCTCAATAAATGTATCCATGTACATCTACTGTAATCGTTTACAAAAGGTGATGAAATACTTGTGCTTGTCATGGGTTGCAATGTGGTATGGTCCCCACAAATCAACATGTAATATTTCAAAAACTTTGGTTGTAAGGACGGTTCTTTATAGAAAGGGTAGTCTGCTTTGTCTAGCCATTGGGCATATGGGGAAAAGGAAAGGTTGTGTAAGTGTGAATTTGGCAGGTATCTCATGGATTCCCTTCATTTTGGCAAAGGGCACATGTCCTAATCTATTGTGCCACAAAAGTTCAACCATGTTTCTATTAGATGTAGATGTGAAAGTAAAAATAGAAGTAGATGAAATTGACACAGAAATATTTTTTTCACTACTTAAGGATGAAGTATTAACAGTGGAGTATTTATAAGGATCAACACCACTCTTATTACAAGCATGAAATAAAACAGGTAAACTAAATGAAACAGGGGGAACAAGATGCAAGTGAAGGTGTATATTATTCTTATCAGACATACTAGATGGAATTTGAGTAGAAGTTTGAGTGAGGGCTGCAACAGTCTTGCAGAGATCTGAAATGTGATAGTATAGGCCATTAGTAGCCTTACCAATTTCCAGAGGCATCTTCAGTGAAGGGTCCTGCAGAAGAATACATGAAAACTTAGTAAAGATGACATAATAATCAAATTGAACTGTCAAGCAATGGATAGATATTATGTTGAATTTGAAACTGGGCACAAAAAGGACTCTCTTGAGGCTGAATTTAGGGCTCAAGACTACATCACCTACAAGTGTCACCTTCACCTTATATCCATTAGGCAGTGTAACTAGAAGAGGGTAAACTAAGGTCTTGATATTAGTTAAAATGAATTTGTTATAAGTCATGTGATTTGTGGCCCCGGAATCAAGTATCCAATAATCAGCACTTGGCTTAAAACATTCATATGAAGGATCGCTGGAGTCAAGAGAAGTAGAACAAGCTGAAATACCTGCAAAGTTTACTGCTCCTGCCTTCATGCCAGAATTATCGTCTGCACTTCCAGTCTGAAAATTTTTTAGGATGCTGATGAGCTGGTTGTATTGTTCTTTGGTCAGATTCTTCATCACTCGCCCCTCTTCTTGAGTTTGTAGCTTTTCCTCAACTCCTATACCAGTATCCTTATAACCATAATCTTCAAACACATTGGCAGCCACTCACTTTCCCTTATTGAACTTGGGGTCTTGTGGATAACCATGATGCTTGTATCACCTATCCTTGGTGTGCCCTGGCCTCTTGCAGTAATCACAAATTGGTCGAGGTCTATTTGTAGAGTAATTTCCCTGAAACTATTACTCCAGTGCCACTCGACTGGTTGTAGTTTATGTAGAAACTCCCTCCAGGTCCATTTCCTTGTTGACCATAACTCGTTCTGAAGTTGTTATTTCCTATCTTGTTCACACTCAAAGCAGTAGAGTCAATCATCAATTGATTACTTGGCTTCATCTCCCTTTGCTTCTCCTCTTGGATGAAAATGGTAAATGCTTGTGCCAAGGAAGGTAAGGGATTCATCATCAGGATGCTTCCCTTCATAATAGTGTACACCTCATTTAATCCCATTAGATATTGAATTAACCTACTGTCTTGCTCAGCTTTCTGCATACTTGCCTTGGCACCACATGTACACTGGAACTTGCATTGAGCATGCGCATTCAAGGTGTTCAGTTCTTCCCGCAGCTTCTTCATCTTAGTGTAGTACCCTATAATGTCGAGTGCTCCTTGACTCAAATTGCTGATTTTTTTCTGTAATTGATATAGTTTTGCCCCATTGGTTTGATCATATCTGTCCTCCAACTCCTACCAAAGCTTTTTGGCATCGTTTACATATTGCAGACTGTCTGCCAGATCCTTTGAGAGAGAATTTAAAATCCACGAGGTCACTACATTATCGCATTGTTCCCATTAATCATAGGTGGGATCCTTTGAGTCTGGTTTTCCACACTTCCCATTTATGAAGCCTACTTTGTTCTTCATAGAAACAGCCCTAAGTACTCCTCGCCTCCATGACTTGTACCTCGATCCATCAAAAAGCATTGGCACAAGCATGGAACCTACATTTTCGGATGGATGCATGTAAAGTGGGTTGGTTAAATCGAGTAGCGGGTTAGGAGAATTCGATGTGTTTTCTTTAATTGCCATAATTCTAGTCGATGTGTATGCGCAGATAACTCTTAATCGCCCAATTTCTGTAGCGATCCTAAATTTGGGCTGACTTCAAACCTCAAAATTAAACAATGTCGAACTTTGATTTCTGTGGACCAAAAATGAAATCAAGCTAGAGATTAGAACCTCCGCACTAATACCATGACAAATTCTCAGATGAACGAGATGAAATCGAGCTCAGATGAGCTCTAATGGCAGATGAACAAAGACCTAGCTAAGAAAGAGGAAAATGAGAGAAGAAGCTTTAGGAGATTTGTTAAACATAATTGGGGAAAATGAATTGAATATTCACTGTACAAAATATCCAAGCACCTTACTTATACAAGTGGCTCACACACTTGACAGCTGGCAACAGTTGTCCACTAACTAATAACAACTAATAGCTATATTAACAAACTAACAAGGCTAAGCTATCTAATTAAGCTATGGTAAGAAAAGGATAAATACACGTGTGCACAAAGTATAAGTGTATGACCAGTCTCAATAATCATGATTTAGAGAGAAAATTATCATGAATTTATATATGTTTCAAGTGGCTAGAAAAGAAGCCAACAATACCCAAAAAATCAAACTGATAAAATAAAAAATAGTTGGTTTGATTTTGATGGGCACCGAGCCAAATGTAACTATAAACACCGCTAATTACAATATATGACAGGTAACTCTTCGTACAAAACTTGATATGACAATCTATAAAATAAAGTAATAGCTTATTAAAAAGGTTAAATTATACGAATAGCATAAACAAATTTTTATATTGTCGGTACTATTGTATACGGTCAAAATAGATTTCGGCCTTCCTACGTTCGATCGAGTTCGAATGATAAGCAACCGGAATGGTATTTTGGGATGAGTTCTGAAGGCAGTACAAACGAGCCTCGAGTCCTAAGGCTGATCGAGGAGTCGGCTCGATACTTTCATCGAGCCCGTGACCGAATCGGTCCGCAAGGCATTGCTTCGAGGTCAGAAATGCACTGCGCCTATCTCGGAGGTCGGACTCAATCCAAAATCGAGGGTTCGACCTAATAACGAGCCTGAACCAGTGTCGAGCTCACAAACAAGAGTCGTTACAACCGTATTAAGAGAGAGAATCTTGGCGGGAATCGAGGAAGAGACAAATCATCATGGGTCCTCGACTATATGCTTTATTTTATTATAAATGAAGTAGGATCTCTCTATTATAAAGGGGGGGGGGGTCTTTGTAAGCTAGGGAGAGAAAAAATACATTGTAACAAAAGATCACTTCTCATATTGAAAGAGATCTCCTCATGCTTATTTAGTTTCACCTTATTCATTCTTTTGCTTACTATTCCCATTCTCATAGCCAAGAACACAAACATTTCTAATTCCCTATACGATTTGTATCAAATTGTATCACATATCCTTAGAATCATACACAAATTTAACGTTATCTGATTTTATGGGTAAATAGTTTGGCGCCCACCGTGGGACTAAGGATAACAGTGATTGTTTGATATAAATCTGCAGTACACACCATTCTACAACCTCGAATCAGCAATGGCTTTACCTATCGACCACAAAGCCGACCTTCAAGATGAGACCAACAACTTGGTACCCGGGGCCGGAAGGCCGCTTGACGATGGCACTGAGGCTCGAATCGAAGTACCCGAAATTCGAGCTGAAGTACCGTTAGATGTCAATTCGCAAGTGGCTCTTGAAGCGAACCAACGTTCTGAACCGGAAAAAAGCATTCAGGGCGGTACCCAATCCGTAGCTCGAGACACCCATAACGTGGGGGAAATCAGAGTCAGTTTGCGCATGATCTTCGAGATGTTCTCAGTTGCAGAGCCAAACTCATGTACAAATCAGATCATACCCTGGTCCGCTTCGAGTAATCACTCCTAGAACGGAGCCCGCCATAGTGAAATCAAACGAGAAAGAATCGGGGACCACTTCCGAAATTGCTAAATTGCTCGAGGAACTCACAAAATGAGTCAAAGCCAATGACAAGAGAGTGGAAACATACAATGCCAGGGTCGATCAGATCCCGGGAGCTCCATCAATGATAAAAGGGCTGGATTCAAAAAAATTCATATAGAAGCCTTTTCCCTCGAGTGCGGCCCCAAAACCAATCCCCAAAAAATTCCGTATGCCCGAAATTCTCAAATATAACGGTACGACCGATCCTAACGAACACGTCACCTCTTACACATATGCCATCAAGGGTAACGATTTGGAAGACGATGAGATCGAATCCGTAATGTTGAAAAAGTTCGGGGAGACCCTCTCGAAGGGAGCGATGATTTGGTATAACAATCTGCCGCCAAATTCCATCGATTCTTTTTCCATGTTAGCAGATTCATTCGTAAAGGCATATGCTGGTGCCATAAAGGTTGCAACAAGGAAATTAGACCTCTTCAAAGTAAAGCAAAGGGGTAATGAAATGCTGAGGGAATTCGTATCCCGATTTCAAATGGAACACATGGAATTGCCACCAGTCACAGACGATTGGGCCGTCCAAGCTTTCACACAAGGGTTGAACGAGCAAAGTTCCATAGCATCGCATCGGCTGAAATAAAATTTTATCGAGTATCCAGCAATAACTTGGGCAGATATACACATCTGATATCAGTCGAAAATTAGGGTCGAAGATGACCAGTTAGGAACTCCGTCTGAAACCATGCATCAGAAAAGGACAACTACTAAAAACCAAAGGGAGATCGATAGATAACAAAGGTCGAATAGAGACCGATATCATCTGTACGTCACAAATCAGATGAACAATGGTTCAACACGCAACATCGCTCGGAATAATCGAAGGATTGATCTAGGGAAAATTTCTCGGGGACTTATGAGCAAGAGCGGCTTCGATAAATACGTTGATCCTATAGAAGCACCTCGGTTATCGGAATATAACTTCAGTGTTGATGCATCCGCCATCGTATCTGCTATAGGACGCATCAAAGACACTAGATGGCCTCGACCCATGCAGACCGATCCTACCCAAAGGAATCCCAATCAAATGTGTGAATATCATGGCACCCATGGCCACAGAACGGAAGATTGCAGGCAACTAAGAGAGGAAGTAGCCCGGTTATTTGACAAAGGCCACCTTTGGGAATTTTTGAGCGATAGGGCGAAGAACCATTTTAAAAACAGGGATTTTGACAAGCAAAACGAGCAGGAAGAGCCGCATTATGTCATTCACATGATCATCGGCGGTGTCGATACCCCTCAGGGACCAGTGCTTAAACGCACTAAAACATCGATTGCGAGAAAAAAGTGATCTCGAACTCAGGATTACACACCCATAAGAACCTTGTCCTTCAATGATAAAGATGCAGAAGGGGACGTACGACCTCATAGCGATGCACTGGTAATATCCGTACTCATGAATAAAACTAATGTTAAGCGTGTGTTGATTGATCCAGGTAGCTCGGCCAGCATCATCAGATTGAAGGTCGTAGAACAGCTCGGCCTGCAGGATCAGATCGTACCCGCAACCCTAGTTCTAAATGGATTCAATATGGCATGTGAAACCACCAAAGGCGAGATAATTCTACCAATAAACGTGGCCGGAATTATCGAGGAAATGAAGTTTCACGTGATCGAAGGCGACATGAGGTATAACGCCCTTTTCGGAAGGCCATGGATCCACAACATGAGAGTTGTACCTTCGACCCTACACCAGGTCCTCAAATTCCTAACATCGAAAGGAGTCAAAACGGTGTATGGAGAACAACCAGCCACAAAAGAAATGTTCGCCGTCGAGGAAGCCAAACCAATATCCTCGCCTTCATCAGTAAAGGGATCGACCTCAGAAGGAGAACGAGACACCAAATAGCAATCACAAACGTCGGCTTCGACCCAACCAGATAACCAGGTGATCGAAGAACATGATGATCAGAGGGTCCCTTGATCCTTCGTGATTCCTGATGATTCTGATGCCACCAAATCAACAATTGAGGAATTAGAGCAAGTCACACTAATCGAACGCTGGTCCGAACGAAAGGTATACCTGGGAACGGGGTTGAGCCCCAAACTCAAGAAGAAACTTGTTCAATTTCTTATCGATAACATTAATTGTTTTGCCTGGTCCCATTTAAATATAATAGGGATTCCACCGGACATAACGACGCATCGGCTAAGCTTGGACCCTAAGTTCAGACCGGTAAAGCAAAAGAGAAGACCCCAGTCCGAGGTAAAACACGCATTCGTAAAAGATGAGGTAACCAAACTTCTCAAGATAGGGTCCATTCGGGAGGTGAAATATCCCGAATGGTTAGCCAATATAGTTGTAGTGCCTAAAAAAGGAAACAAACTTAGGATGTGCGTGGACTATAAGGATTTAAACAAAGCATGCCCTAAAGATTCTTTTCTGCTGCCCCACATCGATCACATGATCGATGCCACAGCCGGCCACGAGATTCTCACTTTTCTCGATGCCTACTCCGGGTATAATCAAATCTAGATGAGCCCGAAAGACGAGGAAAAAACTTCATTTGTCACCAAATATGGAACATATTGTTATAATGTGATGCCCTTCGGGCTAAAAGATGCGGGGGCTACTTACCAACGCCTAGTAAATAAAATGTTCGAAGAACAAATAGGTAAATCAATGAAAGTTTATATTGATGACATGCTAGTTAAGTCTCTGCACGCAGAGGACCATCTGACCCATTTGCAGGAAGCGTTCGAGATTTTGAGGAAATACAACACAAAGCTCAACCCCGAAAAATATGATTTCGGGGTCGGTTCGGGCAAGTTCCTCGGCTTCATGGTATCAAATTGGGGAATCGAGATTAACCCCGATAAAATCAAGGCTATCAAAGATATCACCATCGTGGACAGTGTAAAAACTGTACAAAGGCTAACAGGACAAATTGCGGTCCTAGGACAAATCATTTCGAGATCATCATATCGAAGTCACAAATTTTTCTCCCTACTCAAAAAGAAGAACGATTTCGCTTGGACCCTGGAATGCCAACAGGAACTGAAGGAACTGAAACAATATCTGTCGAGCCCACCACTACTTCACACTCCGAAAGCAAACGAAAAACCTTTCTTATACCTGGTAGTATTAGAAATCGCACTAAGCGGTGTCCTAGTTCGGGAAGAGCAAGGTACGCAATTTCCTATTTATTACATAAATCGAACCTTAAGAGAAGCAGAAGCTAGATATCCACACTTAGAGAAATTGGCATTTGCACTGATAAGCGCCTCTAGAAAGTTACGACCATACTTTCAATGTCACCCCATATGCATATTGACAACTTACCCACTTCGTAATATTTTGCACAAACCCGAACTATCA